CAAACAAGCCTTAGTGGTGTTTTCAAATTGTTGAAGCCCCCCCCCCCCCAATCAAATGGGAGGAGGGGGGGGGGGAATACTGTTTTTCTGTAATTTCTGTAGTTGTACAATTAATGGTTTTTTTTGTGCATTTTCAGTTCATCAAAAATATTTTACTTTCATGTACAGGTGAGGAAGGTGTACAATCCATGTATGTAATGAAATGCCTTTCATTTTTTGGCAAACTTGAGAAGTCCCTCATACTTGATAAGATATTTTAATAGAACATAATAAAGAGTAAATTTCCTAATCTTAGCATGTAAAATGTTTTACTTGGGAAAACAAAATCATAAATGACAATTATTGTTTTACCTCAACTTGATTCAAATAATATTCTAGTTTGGGCTTATTTTATTTATTTTTTAAATATATGTATAATTATTTATTGTTATTAAACATTTTCCTTTATTTACTGCATTTTATTTTAATTAAGTATTTATTTGCTGGAATTTTTTTTGGTAATTGCTAAAGCCCACAATACAAAAAAAAAGATGTACGTAATAATAATGAAAACCATTTACAAAATAATAAAACTATATAGTAAAAATTAAATTAAATTAAATTCACACCTTACATTACATCAGATTTTAATCGGAATGTGTCTTACCTATAGGGTTGCCATCTGTTGTTGGTTGGAAGTATGGTTGCATAGGAGGTGGTGGTTTAGCATGCTCATAAACAGGAGGAATAAAATCCATAGAAAAATCATCATCATTATTAACCACAACATCAGGGTTGTCACATTTCTTTTCTTTGATTTGTGGTTTGGTTTGTATCCCTTGTGCCATTTTTGCAGCCTCTTCTAGTGTGGGAAATGGGCTTGCATCTTCATGTACTTCTTGCTCACCGTTCTCTTGTTCACCTTCTTTCATATCGTCATCACCCCAGTCAATCTTTTTTTCTAGTTTAATCAGAAAAAAAGTGAGGAACATACGCCGGAATACGAGTATTGTGGCTTATACATTGATTCATTTGTCTAACACTAGAAAGACATATGTTCTTGAGTTCAGATAGCAATTAAAAGACAGATTGGCAACATTAATGTTCAATAGTGTTAAGAGGAATTATTTCCTAATTGATGACCGCCTCTAATTAAAAAATAAACCAGTGTTATGCAGTATCCAAATTTAACCGATTACATATGTTACTTCTATTTTCTGTTTAGCAGATCTTTGCTTTCAGAATTCTAAATAAAAACAGCTGCAAAAAACATGGTGGACATACAATACCACAATGACATGCAAGACTTAATAAACGACATTTTGCTGCAATATTGCGTGAAAAGTTGAATTGCGTATT